TACCTTGACCTAATTTCTCTCTATAAATTCCTTATGACCGAAACTTGTAGCACTTTGGATTAATTGATGAGTTTTTTTCTCTTAGAAATCTCATTTTCCGAAGTCATCTTCTCCTAAAACTCTACCCTACTTGAGCTCCTCTCCTTGTAGAGTTAGGAAGGCTTTCTTCTCTGGACTTAGCTAGAAGCAAGCCTAGGTCACATTGAAGCTACTTGGAGTCTCTTCCTTGAAGTTCTTCTAAGGAATCCGAGAAGCTTTGGAAGTGTTCATGAGAATTCCAAGTGGAATCTCATCATACAGTGTCAGCATCATGTGTAGGAGGAGGTTGGGGAGGACGAGAAGATTGAGAAAACATCTCCATAAATTGCTTCAGCTGCTCATGAACCAACCGAGACTCTTCCTATGGAGCACGAATCAAATCTGCATGGCTTTGCAATTGTTCTTTCAATGATTTGTTTTCTTCAGACAAATTTGAAACAAGATTTTTCATTTGTTCATACTCAGGAGTAGAGATACCATCTAAGAATGTAGAAGAAGAAGGTTTATACTTCCCAGCCTCTGAACCTAAACCAAATATTCTTCCTTTATCGTTCACACCACCAACAACATCATAGAAAATACTATTTTCAGATTGCACACTAGAGGCAGCATGATCTCCCGATAATTGTTGTGACTCTCTTTCAAATAACCGTCTTTGATACTCATTCTATATAAAAAGAAAAGTAAGAAACAAAAGTATATAAACATTAATGACAATAGAAGATCTCATGAATGTCATGAATGATGCAAAGTAAATGGGAACAATGAGAGTGAAAGGATTAACTCAAACATGATTTTGGAGCATTTTTTTTTAAATTAAAAGTTTTAAATTATTCTCTTAATTATTGAATAAATTTTTAAACAGTAATAAATGGAAGGAATGCGGTGATAGAATTATTTCAAAATGATGTACATGTTATGCTACTAAAAAAATAAACTACAAGTAGGTAAAACTTTTGCAACATGTAGTGGATGGACACAATAACGTGTTATAAAGAGACCAAATATTTATTTAAGATTGAAATTTTATTTTTGAGAATCTGTGAAAAATGGTTGTGTCGTCTAGTTTGAATTATTTTTGTATACAATGTACTTTCTCTCAATTTGATTTTGGTTTCTGAAATGAACATGTTGTTCGCATTAAGTATATGCAGTAGTAAGTTAAAAATTAAAAAAAGGTGTTCTACGGAGGTTCTTTTCTTCTTTTATGAAGATTGTTATTTTTCGGATTCAATGAAGGTCGATCCATATAAAACCAAGTTGAATTTGTCCACTAAATTTAATGCCAAATATTATTGGGCGGCTGTGGCCTGGGAAGGTTAGGCCTCAACCATTTTCAATGCATATATTGCACTTCCTCTAAATTGCAGAGGTTATAGTGCTTCATTGATAGATTTTGGTGGTGTTGGAGATGGAAAGACATCAAATATATAACAGTAACAATTATAAAAACTCAATTATAATAACTCATTACTATTGTCCAACATATTATATTCATATGTTCTCATATAGTAAAACTCTAACAGTAACAATTATAAAAACTCAACGATAAAAAGGCTATAAATACCTTGAGTAAATCAGAAACCTTCTCAGCAATATATTTTTGTTCAATATTGACTCCCTCCTATGTTACTTATCAACATGAATGCACAGTATAACTTCATCAACACATTACACCTGAAAGTAAAACTTAATAAATTCTAGGAACAATATATATAAATTATTGCAAGTATATATAAATAGACGAGGCAAACGAGAGGAAAGTATATATAAATTCTTAGAAGAATGAATGCTGGTGCATCAAATATATAAAAAACTATTTAGAGAATTTAAAGTACAAACTACAAAAGGAACCTTTACATCAACCAACCAACCAAACGAGAATTATATAAATTATAAAGTAGAAACTGAGGAGGCTACCTTTAATTGAAGTCATGTAATTAGAAAGGAACTTAGTAGGGAATGCACTAATAGCAGGTCATCACCGGTAGCTAACTCTCAAAAATCAAACCAGAATTGCAAGCTACGCCAAGAAACCAAACATCACCCTCTGTTTTTTTTCTCTGTGCATGATGTCCCACTCCCACCAGCATCCACAACCACATCAAAGACGGTTATTATCTCACTGCCTGAACCAACTTCGTGATATATAGGCCAATAATATTCATTAGCATCCCATTTGATTTAGTTGCAATCTGACACTTTCTCTTATAGGAGTGCTGCCAACAAACCAATTTTAATTAACAAAGTAAAAGGAATCTTAATTAATTTAGTAAAAGTCTAAACTAACTTATAGTTAAACTAACTTAACTTAGTACTAAACTACACTTTTTATTTATTTATGAGAATTAACACAACACTAAGAAAGTTTATGGCACTTAAACGCCCCACTTAACTAACACTCACTCACTTAGTCTATAATTAATTAATCGAGTAAACAAATTAATTACTACACTAAATAATCAGTCTAATTAATTAGTCTAACTAAACTTATTTCATTATACTAACTTATATAGTCTAATGCTAATCCTCAAAAAATAACTTACTCTAATTTTTATTTATCTAATACAAAACTAACGAAGAAATTAATCAAAAATTAGTTTCTTTATTATATGGCTTTTATCAAACAATTAACAACCATAATAAAAAATAAAAATAAAAAAACTAATCAAACCAAATGTTTTTGGAACATTTCCACACCCACCTTACATGGATGGCGAAAACAAAGCACAACATATTCATTCCATAAACACGATCATCCCAATAACAGCACGGGAATGCAATCAAACAAAAATGAAGAGAAAATGTGAAAATGCAACAAAATAAGAGCAAACACGAGCAAGAAAGTAAAAACAAATAAGGCAAAGGAGCACACCAAGCCAGAAAGAGAATAGAGTAGAAAGACATTGAGTGAGGAAGAGAATAGAGAGACATTTGAGAATGGAATTGGAAACCCTAACCTTAGGAGGGGCGGCGGACTCCTAATTTTTTCGGGAGACAGAGCGAAAATGAATTGTAAGGCGCGGGACGGGTTTGGGACTCATAAAGGAAGGATTTTATTATATTATTTATTTTCAAATTTTTTTAACAATATTTTATTAAACAAATTTTACATTAAATTATTAATTATAGTCATTTTTTAACTAATTTATTTAATTTTAGTTTTTACAATGATTTTTTTATTATTATTATTTAAATTTATTCAACTTATTAAAAATATAAATTTAAGATATTTCTATTTATCAAATTCATTTTTTTTATATAAAATAACATAAATATAAATTGTCGTTTCAATAATTTCTAAATTCATTTTTAAAAATTTAAATATATAATCATATTTTATTATAAATTTTAAAATTAGCCTAATTTTGAATTTTGAAATGTACATAATTTTTATGGGTTTTTTAATTACAAAAATTCAAATAACTAAATTTATGTTATTTTTAATATTTTATTTGGAAGTTTAATTTCATTTGAGTTTTTTCCAAAAAAAAATTATAAAAATCTACAATAAATTATTACGTTTAGTCATTTTTTTAATCTAAATCATGTTTACTCATTTTTAAAAAAAAAATCAATTTAAATTTATTTATAACTTAACTAAAGATAAAAGAAATCCAAAGGTTTTGATCTCCACTTTATTAAAAAATAACCTCCATGTAGTAGTTTTGTTGGTTATCCAATTTTACAGTTTTGTTGGTTTTTATAATAAAAATAAGACATAATTTAAAACAGATAAATTATTGGCGGTTGAAAGAGGATGGTGTGACACCCTTACTACCCCAACATATATATTGTAATAATAAAAACTTATAAATAAATTTTTCAATTTTGGTAAAAGGGTTCACATGAGAATCTTCAAAGTTATTCTTCAATAACCACAGTAATAAAAATGAACCACAGGAGTTTACAAATTATTAAAAATAATAATTACAATTTCAAAATCATATAAAATCTATGTCCTAAAAATCCTCTGCCCCGAT